ATGTACAATGTGAATGACCACCCCTAAATTTTTGTAACAAAGTAAGTGACCCCCCTGCACGTCATGTACAAAATCAATGACTCCACCCTTCCCATAATTTTTAAGCATGATTTTTTAATATTTTTATGTACAAAATTGATGATCCCTACCTCCCATGAACAAAATGGGTGATCCCCTTTATCAAAATCATCATTACACCCAAACCCCCCTACCCATAAATTATGAACGGTTCCTAAACACTGCTGTGCAGTCAGGAACCACAGCGCTGAATTTAATGGAAAAAGTGCATGAATATAGCCATATATTCCACTTATTTCAAGGGAGTGTGTAAATATTAGACCCTAGACAGAAGACAAGTGGTTGGTAGTATGAGCAAGTATTCATCACTGTAGCTACTTCATCCTGAGTACATGGGCCTCAACTCATTAGAAAAAGCATAATATAAATAATTTGTGATAAGTCAAACTAACAAAAAATACATTAAATTTCCTGTCTCTAGTATTACTTCACAGATCAAGAATCAACAACATCTACATTATATTGAGAAAAAACAAAAGCTTACAAAAATGGATAAGATGATTGCACTTGGTTGTGCCCTGCTGTAGGATTGGTCCCCATTAGGTCACCTATTGTTGTTGTTTCTTGTGAGACATAGTGGGAGCGTATATGACCTCCAGATCTTCAAGTCAGTCATTTTTGCCATTTTATCCTTGATTTTGTATTTCTTGCAAGAGACACTGCAGTAGCAATGATGTCATTTTAGGTCTGCCGTATACGAGGCAGTGGCAGCCAAGATGGCCGGATGATTCTCATTTTGTCTTTCTTGCAAAGAACAACTGCACCAACCATTTTAGCCATTTTTCCTCAATTATTGTTTCTTGCAAGAGACTGCAGCATATTTAAGGGCCACTTTATTCTCATATCAAAGATTATGGCAGCCATGCTGACCATATGATTCTCATTGTAGTTCTGTTGACATCAAAATGGCAAAACCATTGTGGCACTGCACTCTGTGCTAAGATAAGCATAATGTCCTTCACAGGATCCGTGGTGTATTTAAGGTCTTTCTTAAATGAGAAGGTCGCTTCGATCCCCGACATCAAAAAAGATGTTAGAAACCATTGTTGGCCATGTTTCTGACATTAATGCTCTTTGCTAAGATAAGCATTGTAGTAGGGGAGTGTTACCTTCACAGAGGGTGACAGATGACAGTGAGAGCACTGATTCACATGATGCAATGATAAAGCATGGAAGCCAGGTCAACCATCAGTATTTGTTAAATTAATATGCCATGTACTTTCGTGTGTTTCATGGCCAAGAAACCCAGTTCAAAATATCTCTCTCAATAGAATCTTATCAATAATCATTGAAAAAAATCCCTTTTTTTCGACATTGTGAATTTTTACCAAAGTCTTCAAAAGGTCAACAACTGTAACATCAGTGACACAATTAAACCACATGTTTCTTTCTCAGCATCATACCTTTCAGAATTATCGAATAACAGCTGGAGGCAGTGGGGTAGGCTTATAGTTAAAGCATTTCATCATCATGGTCAAGGCCTGGGTTTAGATCCCCACAATGTGTGAAGCCTATTTCTGGTGTTCCTACTGTAATATTGCTAAAAGCAATCTAAATCCCAATCACTCACAATCTATTAAATAACTGCAAGAGATGATTTTCTACTCTTCTACTCTTAAAAGAGGAATATCTCTTTCACTCAATGTTTCAACCTTTTCCTTTGTATTGATAAAATCTGATGATAAGTCATAGATTTGTTGACTATCCTTGCAACATTCAAGACTTGAGTTGTTTTTCAGGTAGAGTTCTAAAACTGTTTAAATGTTTTGGAGTCAAATATGTTGATTTTTCTTTCAACTCATGAAATGGTCCTTCCATTGCTGTTTTTATCAGAGACAAAAGTCATAATATAAGCTTTTGGCAGCAAATCACACAACAATTTTTCATAAATTCCATTCAGCATGATGAAAACCAATTTCATCTCGGAATGTTTTGGCAAGGAAGCAAAGGCATATCCCTCCTCTCCTGAATATATGTATTTTATTTATTTACTGCAGATACTTTATGCCCACAGCACTGACTGTCAACAGGACAATTTAAAATGGCAGAAAGCTAAAACATGCCCGATGTTATCAGGAAAACATTGACATATCTTGCCAAATACATCTACTTCACTGTGTTAACTCTGATGTTTTTTGTGCATCTGAGTTGGGGCCAATATAATGTCACTGGAAATATATCACTGTATAGTGGTACAGGATGCTTGATGCCTGATAATACTGCCAACACTATTTGGGGCAGTCACACTGGATGAGAAGTCCAGTTTGTATTGTAGGTTTGTGAGAAACATGGTTGCTGAAGATGCTGACAATGTGGGTGGGTGATCACTTTTGGCTGTGTGCTGCATGGCTGGTCGAGAATCTAGAGTGTCATCTACCCTGGATGGATTGGACTGACTCTCTGAAGAGTACATGGCTGCATAATTACCTTTCTCTGTGTGCTGCATGATTGATCTAAAGTGTCATCTAACCCTAAAGGACTGTCATCTACCCTCAAGTACAGGCCTGACACTCGATGAGTACATGGATTGGCAACTACCTTTGTGTGCTGCATGGCTGGTCTAGTGACTCTCAAGGACTGGACAAACTCTCTGATGAGGAGTACATGGGTGGGCAACTACCTTTGTGTGCTACATGGCTGGTCTAGTGACTCTCAAGGACTGGACAAACTCTCTGATGAGGAGTACATGGGTGGGCAACTACCTTTGTATGCTGCATGGCTGGTCTAGTGACTCTCAAGGACTGGACAAACTCTCTGATGAGGAGTACATGGGTGGGCAACTACCTTTGTATGCTGCATGGCTGGTCTAGTGACTCTCAAGGACTGGACAAACTCTCTGATGAGGAGTACATGGGTGGGCAACTACCTTTGTGTGCTGCATGGCTGGTCTAGTGACTCTCAAGGACTGGACAAACTCTCTGATGAGCATGGGTGGGCAACTACCTTTGTGATGGCTGGTCTAGTGACTCTCAAGGACTGGACAAACTCTCTGATGAGGAGTACATGGGTGGGCAACTACCTTTGTGTGCTGCATGGCTGGTCTAGTGACTCTCAAGGACTGGACAAACTCTCTGATGAGGAGTACATGGGTGGGCAACTACCTTTGTGTGCTGCATGGCTGGTCTAGTGACTCTCAAGGACTGGACAAACTCTCTGATGAGGAGTACATGGGTGGGCAACTACCTTTGTGTGCTGCATGGCTGGTCTAGTGACTCTCAAGGACTGGACAAACTCTCTGATGAGGAGTACATGGGTGGGCAACTACCTTTGTGTGCTGCATGGCTGGTCTAGTGACTCTCAAGGACTGGACAAACTCTCTGATGAGGAGTACATGGGTGGGCAACTACCTTTGTGTGCTGCATGGCTGGTCTAGTGACTCTCAAGACTGGACAAACTCTCTGATGAGGAGTACATGGGTGGGCAACTACCTTTGTGTGCTGCATGGCTGGTCTAGTGACTCTCAAGGACTGGACAAACTCTCTGATGAGGAGTACATGGGTGGGCAACTACCTTTGTGTGCTGCATGGCTGGTCTAGTGACTCTCAAGGACTGGACAAACTCTCTGATGAGGAGTACATGAGTGGGCAACTACCTTTGTGTGCTGCATGGCTGGTCTAGTGAGTCATCAAACCCTCAAGGACTGGACTAACATGGATCTGAAATACCTTCGTCTGTGTGATGTGTGGCTGGTCTAGAGTGTCATATAACCCTCAAGAACTGGACAAAAGTGTTCTATCTTCTTTACTGAAAATCACCTTTCCACACTTATACTCCCCTCCATTGTGACTAAATAATGTACACAGCTGATAGACATCAACAGTTTGTGATAATCAATAAAGCTACAAGAGTTTGTGATGATCAATAAATCTACACGCATGACCAAACATAATCCAGTGCAACCACTGGGAGCAGTAATACCATGGTGCATGGTTATAACCAATGTGCAGTTCCTGGACTCATCTGTAAATGCAGAGCTATCAAGTAATCACATACAGGAATGAGATTCTCACAAATATTGTGAGAGGAAACTATCAAAGTGGCATACTTTATCTTTCCATTGCTTTCATGACAGTCATGATGCCATATTAGCGCTAATGAACTTTCACATGAGTGAACACGTTGATTGGCCCTTCCACAGCAGTTCATTACTGGCATTTGACCAGTTCAGTGTTGGTACTACTGCAAACATCTATCTCCTTGCAGAATATAGCCTTGCTTTTACTTTGTGGTTTAAAGCTACATTCAGCAATATTCCAGCTATATGGCGGTGGTCTGTAAATGATCAAGTGATCAACAGCATGAGCATCGATCTACACAACAACAGCATACAGCAAGTAGATACAGGTCATCTTGTATGGGTCAACAAACCATGTATCCATCTCGTAGTACTGATAGCAGGCAGGTGAATGTTGTTTAATGTATCATTCTTCATATCAGCCTGTTAATGTTCAAGTCTGGTACAGGCAAACCAATGGTTGATGGCATGACATACAATCTACATTGTCGTGATTGCAGTGATCACACATTACAACCAAAGTCTGATCAATCAGATCGTATGACAATCATGGAAAAGTTTGGACCTATTCTGTCATGAATATCAAATGATTCCCCTTGTACATTTCTGACATTTGTTTGTTGTTTAATGCTGCATTCAGCAATATCCCAGCTATATAATCACAGCTTATGAATAATCAACTCTTGACTTGGCAATCCAGTAATTGTCATTGAGAGCATTGATCCACATGTTCAGGGTATGATGACACTCAGTTAACAACGTCACCGAGTCTGACCACTAGATTCATCTCGTCACCTCTTACAACCAGCATAGGCTGTTGGGGACACTTATTATCCACTAAGAGACAGATAATCCACATTCAAGTACAGCCAAGAAACTACCAGAGAAGACTGAAATTTGAACTTACCAAGTTCACAGTTGGGACCTATGTAGCCATGGCGACACTCACAGACATTTGGCGCCAAACACTTTCCTCCATTGAGGCATCGGCCATGACAAAATGCTGGAATATACAAACATCATTCATCATTGCACAACATGGTACGAAAACAAAATGTTAATTATGAATGGAAAAATGCAGCCTGACTTTTCAGCCACAATTGTAAAAGTCTTGTAATTCTAACTGATCAAATCCATCATTTACTGAATGAAAGCTTATCTCGTAGTACAGAAATATGTGAGATCAGTGAAAATAGTTTTTAGTTGCATTAAGAATTATATAAATATTGACATAAAATTCTACATACAATTCTATATAATATGACTATACCTCACCCCTCAATGTTCCTGCTCTAAACTCCCAACTACAATGACATGAATAGGTAAAAAACGTTTACTTCAACAAAAAATGTTTTTCTGTTCTTAAACTTCAAAACCAAAACCAGATTGGACATGGGACAGAGAGAGATGAACAGTCCCCATTAGGGCTGCGCAATATAACCAGTTTACCGGTATTTACCGTTTCAGGCATGAAAACGATACGTATTGCGATACGCTGATCAAAATTTTTCGATTGGTATTTTGACTTGCATTCGGAAAACTTGGTAACACTCGGAAATCTTCGGATATTTCCTTGTTTCATTTGTACCAAATATTATTTACATTACAAGGAGATGGTACCAGGAACAGCACAACATTCTGTATGCACTCCTATTACCAGGTCCCCAATAGCCTTGGTCTGGAGATGTTCCCAGGAACAGCACAACATTCTGTATGCACTCCTATTACCAGGTACCCAATAGCCTTGGTCTGGAGATGTTCCTAGGAACATGGCAACCTTCTGTACTATGTATAATACACCCCTATTACCAGGTACCCAACAGTCTTGGACAAGGAGATGTTCCTAGGAACATGGCAACCTTCTGTACGATGTATAATACACCCTATTACCAGGTCCCCTATTGACTTTTACAGGGAGTTCCCTGGAACGTTGCAGCGTTCTGTATGATGTATTACACACACATAAACCTGTTACAATGAGCAAGCTAAGCTGAGTGTGTGGCAAGTGAGCTCTCAGCTGCTCTGATGGCTGATTCAGGTGAGGGGCTTCACATCAAAGGGAAGGGGGATCAGATCGCGACAGGTCGTCAGCGATAAGGAGTGGGGAATGAGGGGGAATGAGGCTGTCTAGACACAAGAAGGGGATGATACCTATTGGTCAACCCAGCCCAGTAAAGCAGACAGCAGTACAATCTAGTACCATCGAGTATTATATAATCTAGTACAATCTGGTTCAATCTGTCCTAATCTAGTCCAGGCCTCAAAGACACCTGAAAAGAATGTTTTATCTTGTTAGAGGAAATATAACAGATGTTGATCTCTACAGACTGTCTGTCAATTTGTCTGTGTGTGGTGCCCGGAGGTAAGAACGTATAGAGTCCATATATGTCTGATTGCATTTCTCTTTTGAAATAGGGGCGGTGGGGTAGCCTAATGGTTAAAGCGTTGGCTCGTCACGCCGAAGACCCGGGTTCGAATCCCCACATGGGTACAATGTGTGAAGCCCATTTCTGGTGTCCCCCGCCGTGATGTTGCTGGAATATTGCTAAAAGCGGCATAAAACCAAACTCAGTCAGTCAGTCTTTTGAAATAAGCAGTTAACAGGATAAGTAACACTACTTATAATTACATGTAAATTAGCATATTGATTTCTGACATGCAAAAATTATTGGTAATTGTTGATTGATGCATGTCATCGTATCCCAGTTGCATAGGTCGATGCTCATGATGTCAATCACTGGACTGTCTGGTCCAGACTTGATTACTTACAGACAGCTGCCATTATAAAGCTGGAATATTGCTGCATTCAACAACTAACAAACAAACCAGCATTATCCCTGGTAATTATATGAAAGCCAAATCTGATGGGTAAATCATGTCGAGTGATGTTATGACTGTGAGATATACTTTGAAATAAACAGAGTTTGCTTGAGTGGTATTTCAAAGTTTGGACTAACTAAACTGTTTACTTATATCAAAACTTGGTAATCACCCTTTGAGATTTTCATGCTTAAATTCTGAGTACTGAGTAACATTGTAACTACCTCCACTACTGGGCACTTTCAGGACACTGACTTCAAGTTAGTTTGAGTGACACATTACCCTTGGACTTAGTTTATTCTTAGTGAGTGAGTTGGGGACAGCTAGCTCAACAGCATTTAAATTCAATTAAAGTGCATCTTTGGAGGAACGTTCTACATCCTGCAAACAAGGGGAAACATCTCTTTGATCACAGATCCTCTCTATCATTCTGAAACTTTCAGAGTTTTGAACTTCCTGCCATCATTCTGCAATTTAATTTACCAAGAAGCCTGTATGTCTGCAATGAGTAAATGTTCTCCAGTACCATAGATGTCCACTCCATCGGATGACTTCACTATCACCCAGCTGACCAGACAACTAGACATTCCTCTGTGTTTGCACAACATCATGAGGAAACCGCTTTAGAGTGTAAATAAAGCCTGGTCATAATCAAATATCCTCCAGTATACAGTGACCTGGTGCCATTTCCCTTGACCAGACAGTGTGACCCTGTGGCTGTGTTTGTATTGTCTCCAGGCAGTACAGTTGCTGATGCCGCATAAAACATTATTGACTCACTCACTCACTCACTCATTGGACCAGGACATCATTCAGACTTTGTCTTTGAAACATTTATTGAACTGATGCACGTTTCTACTTCATACCACTCACTACAGTGTTGTTTTTATTGTACTGAAATACTGACATGCACACATAATAAATTAATCAATTTAATACATGTAGATGGTGTAAATAATGATAGATTGTTCCATAGTGAGCTATATGACTATACTCTTCATGAAAAATAAGGCAACAACGTTTTGATGGAATAGTGCATAATTTGTTGGCAATTATTCATAGCCTATATTAGAAGATAAGAGGGAAACATGACTGGGCACAGTATTATCATCATTTGACAGACATTTTGACCACCAAATCAATTGGTGGTATATAAACTTCACAAGCATAGTACTCGGGTACAGGTTTGTTCAAAAACACAAAATAAGCCAACCTTTTTCTTGATTAATAAGTATTTTTTCAGGTTTATCTAGTTAGAAATACAACAAGAATGAATACTGCACTATATTGTGGAGAAACCAGATCACGTAACTCACAGCAATATCAAAGCTATACTGAGAGAATGTTGATGTTTAATGGTGCTTCTGACATTGTTCCTGCTATATTCACTGAGTAAATTTGTTCAAAAGTGCACTCAGCAATATTCCACCTCTAAGTACCTGTTCATCATAACCGACCACACTCTAATGCAACTGAATTTCTCCCATGAATGTCACAGCATGCTGAAATCAGGCTATAAACAGCTCTGTTTCCTGAACTCATTAACTCTTTCAAGTCTGTCTTCTGTGGTTAATTCTTGGATATTTCTCTATTGATTTCCCTAATAGAAATTAGCTGTTGTCGTTTTAAAGGGCCCATGTCAAAATTCAATCCATACAATTAATCAATATCAGATGGAAATTGCATGTTTGCAACTTAAAACAATATTGGCACAAACGTATGAAAATCCCACTTTTGCCACAATGTGCACAATTTATTTGGAAGCCATGGCACTGAAGCTGACCAAATATTTGCCTGCAGTTGATGCTCCCTTTCCCATAAAAATAAACATCAAATTTCCACAACCTGAAAAGTCCCATACCATATTCTAGCAATACAAACATGCATATGAAACACTTTTTTACTTTAGACATGAAAATAATAACGTAGCAAGTACTTTATCGAATATCACATATGTGAAAACAAGTAATTCTTAATTACAACCAAACAGATATTAACTGTTAAATTAAAAAAAAGACAAGTCCTAAACTAACATGTAAAGAAAAAAATTCATTTGCATCACTTACAGAAAATTGTCAGACACACACCTGCCTTGTTCAGAAATAATTTTGCACAATAAAAAGAAGAGGATTTTTTGGGTGATGGTTAAAAATAGATGTCAGAATGAAGGAGGCCTCTATAAACACAGAATCTTCTTTCAAAAATCTTTTCATCTTCAACAAGCAAAGTGTACTTATTAAGCTGGCAGCAATGGTGGATCTATTTGCAGCAAAGGTAAATATGACTGGCGTATTCCTACACCGCTCTGCCGGTAATCAGTCATAGAAATGTACTTATGATGTTGTATTATGAAGAATTCCAACAAAATGTAGGGACGACATTATGTTTATTTAGACAAACATAACGCAATAAATCTCAAATGTGGTTGTGGATAGTTTTCTCTGGAATAGGTACAAGTGCTTATTTTGCAAAACATTCTTCAAGCTACCTACACACAGATTTTAGTCAAGGGTGAAACAATATTTGTGTCTGTAGATAATTATGAGTTTGTGGAATAAACTGTGTTTTTTTGACATGTCAAATGAGTACAATATGCAGATGTAGCATGAAAAGTCTTTGCGTTAAACAAGTGATGCTTGTTCCAGGGTTCAAGTAATTGGTGTCAAGACACATTGACCCACTGTTGCTAAGTCTGATGCATACTTTGTTTTCAACCTACTGATAAGTCTTGAGACACAAACACATACATACTCTTGTAAAGTCAGATGTCAACAACTCCTTTTTAGTCTCATTTCATTCCAAGTCATCTTGTTAAATCCCATAGGAGAGGAGAGTTTAAATGGACTTAAATTTAATGTCAAGATTATTCAACTTACACAGAGTCATACATGTGTGTTGCAGCTTGTACTAGTCCAAGCTAAAGCCATTTTAAAAGTGCTAGCCCTCAAGAGTTTTAACACTCACTCTTGACAAAGATATACAGACTCCTAGCTGTTCAGTCATTTGGTATTACCAATGACCTTCAAGTCTTTAAGCTCTGTCCACTAGGCCACGGAGGTGGTCAGCTATTTAAAAAATGACACTGTATAACTGCTAACAGATAAATTAGAGTGAGTCAATTTAATTTTATGCTGCTTTTAGCACTATTCCAGCAATATCACGGTGGGGGTCACCAGAAATGGGCTTCACACATTGTACCCATGTGGGGAATCGAACCTGGGTCTTCGGTGTGATGAGCATACGCTTTAACCACTGGGCTACCTATTGCCCCCAAACAGATTAGAATGTCTCCTATGAAATCAAGTGGTGTATTAGCACTGGGTTTCAGTAAGATTGGCTGCACAATGTTGGTTTCATCATTAATTAGTCATTACTTATGACAGAACCAAACAACAAAACATTTACCTCATGTTGGTTGGATATTATTCAGAAAAGTTATCAAAATGTTTCAAAGAAATACCTCTAAAAGCTTTCAAAATTAGAAGTTTTAAAAACATGAGCTATGAAATAAGAATTTTTAGGATAAAAGACACAGACATTTCCTGTGTTTCAAATCAAATGGATCATTATTCTTTTCCAGTTTTTATGGAAGCGGTGTATTGGCAGGGTTTAGTAAATTCAGCTGACCACCATTAGAATATAATGTGTATAGTGTGTCCGTGTAGAACGGCCTCCTGAATGGTGATGAATTGCAACTGCATCGCCTTACACGAGAAACAATCTTAGCTAATGTTGCATAATGCAGGGTTGTCACACAATAAATATTACATGTTAGACAGAGAAACACCAAATTCCATGAAGTCAATTTTCATTGGGTTTCCTGCTTCCAATTCGATGTTGACAATTAAGAATGTTTTTAAGGCTCACTGCAAGCAATAACACTTAATCTAGTAGCTTCAAGAATTCTGTGAAATAGTTCTGCTGCAGAGTTTAATAGCGAAGACTTTCTGAGATGATAAGAATCAAATCATGATACTCACGTTCACATTTAGTGAATCCATCGCCAACATATCCGTCGAAACAGTCACATCGATAGGTACCTTTCATCTCTGTGCAGACAGCTTTTGGGTGACAGTGGTGGGTGCCTTCCAGACACACGTTAAACTCTGTAAAATCAGAATGAGGCTCAGTAAGCTGCCATATTGGAAACAGAACAGAGATTAATTTACTGGAGTGAGTGAGTGAGTTTAGTTTTACGCTGCTTTTAGCAATATTCCAGCAATATCACGGCGGGGGACACCAGAAATGGGCTTCACACAGTGTACTCATGTGGGGAATCGAACCCAGGTCTTCGGTGTGACGAGCGAACGCTTTAACCACTAGGCTACCCCATCGCCCTGAATTTACTGGAATTAAATCAAACTCATACAAGGTCTGAAACAGAAGGCTTGGATTATGAGGATGTGATAGAATGTAAAACATCAGAATTAGCAGGCAATGATGGAAACTACCATGGCAATCACTCATAGGCGTAAAACACACAAGCTGAATGAGTGAGCGAGTGAGTGAGTGATAGTGAGTAGTGAGTAAAGAGAAGGAAAGAGCAAGTGAGTAAAGGGGGATTTGGATGAAAGAATGAGGGATGGGAGTTTAATGTTTATAGTAACCTTTATTTAAGTTGTTGCCATGTCATAACAAAATAGTATCACAAGTATATACATACAAACCATCACATAACACTACAGCATCACCACCCAACAGTAGAGCACCACAAGTACATTCAGGGGTGCAAATAACCCATTGCCCGACGTCCGAGTCCAGTGCTTTTTTCTGTCGGGCAAGCAAATTCATATATCACACTGTACCGGTGTCCAGTTGACTTTCCAATGTTTACCATGTTGTTTATTTAAAAAATCAACAAGAAAACGGCCGGTATAGTGGAAAAATTATCAGGGCAAGTGATTTTACATGTGCCACTGTACCGGAGTACACTAGCAATTTTAAAGTTATTTCCACCCCTGTCTGATCCATTTACTAGCACAATCAAGGTATCTTCATAACCTTCATCAAAATACCATCACTACATGAACTTATGTAATTATGTAATATTCAAATGTAATCAACATTAAGGTTTAAGAATTCACAAAGAATTCATTCCCATCTCAATGGTATTTGATATTTTTCCCTAACAAAGCTAAATGAACTTCTTGAGTGTTTGGGGCTGTTTGTCTGAGTCATACTCTATGGTGTATATACAAACTATGATTAGTTTCTTAGACAATAATGTTTGGAGGGCAGTATCCTCTGTCCTATCATGCATATAGTTCAAGCCCCTCTAATCAAAAGCTACTTTAACGCCATTAATTTTGTTTTTATAAGGTATGTATAACAGGAGATAAGAAAAAATAACAAAAAATAACAGCCTTTGTTCCCAGGTGTTTTTTTCCTAACGTTTCTTGAAAGTTTTGCAGTAGATTTCACACTCAATAAATAACTACCAACTGTTGATTTTTTTATCTCATGGGGCCATTTTTTGCCAACAACTTGTTTCGATAGGCGTAACAGCAGCGCTCAGTCTAAGAGGTGAGACGAGCCTACCGTAGACAACGTGTGCTTCATCATCTACGACATAGTTGGAAAAGCGCCACCTAGGCAACTAGAAGGGAGAACACTCGTAGAAGTCTGCAGGTCTACACAGAAATAACAAGGCATTCCAGCACTCTTTAAACACCACTGAGACTCCAGCGATAGCGCTGTTATCATTCATAGTGAGATGTTACCTGTGTGATAACACCAGCTATACCCCCGTTATCTAATCACTCTCAATGTTGTTCAGAAAAAAATAGTTGGCTTCAAAGAAAACACTTAGGAAAACATTTACTTATGAAAACAGATCTATGTATACCTATGTAACATATTTTCCCCCTCTTTCTGTGGGTGAATGTTTCTTTGATGTGTATTCTAAGGGTAAGTAGGTGTACAAGTTAGGATAATTCCATAATGATATAGGAATGAGAAGATAATTAATTAATCTTAATAATTACCAATAAGCTAAACACCTCCCACGCTGTTTGGCCTCTTAATTAGATATAAATCACTTACTAGGGGAGATAACTGGCATACTGTAACAGCTACTAATAAAAAGGCTTTACAAGCTTAATGAACCTCAGTGATGGAGATAGAAGCTAATTGGTAGAGTGTTTTGCTTTGTTGATGTGGCGACATTGTTATTTTGGTTTTTTTTAATACTGTAGAATTAGTTTCTTCTGACATACTTATCGGTACCTGGTAGGATTTAATTGATCATAATTATCATTATAATTCCTATATATACAAGACCGCCTCCTGTGTAGTGGTTAGAGCGTCCGCCCAGAGTGCGGAAGGTCGCGGGTTCAATCCCCGACCGCGTCATACCAAAAGACGTTAAAATATGGTACTTGTTGGTCCCTGCCTGGCACTCGGCATTAATGGGTACAAGGACTGGTCGGCTCGGAGTCAGTATAATGTGTCTGAGTGGGGTATTCATGCTTCACTGCGGCATGGTATCTCAGTGGGCTAGCACTATAAAACCAGCTTCAGTCTGGGCTAGTACAAGCAGCCGCACATACACATACACACGCATGCACGTCGTCATATGAGCGAAATATTCTCAAAGCACGACGTTAAACCCAATTCCACCACCACCTATATATACAACACATCTTCTGTATGTACATTATTTCACAGTTCAGACAGTTTTCTTATGAAAAGCTTACATGTAACCCTACAAGTAACCCAAAACTTGTCAGCATGTGTAGAACAAGTTTCAATTTGCATCTTTTTCACCAACTTTAAAACCATGTTTTAAGCTTTCCTTGACAGGATTCCGCTACAAGAAACCTTTCTGCACTTTATTCACATAAAAAAACTTTTGAACTAATTATGAAAAGTATTGTCCAAATTTTCTTTCCATTTTTATGAAGTAATAACTCCTGGTGAAGATTATTCAGAAGTTTCAAATGGGTTAATAATAAATACCTGTTCCTTGTCTTGTTTCTTTTTTATCAAATCACTGCACCACGTGTGTCACCGGGAATGTCCAAGACAAAAGACAGACACTGATAATTGAATGACATCACAACAGTCATGTCATGGACCCATAGCATAGCACTGGTGGTAACTATAGAAACCAGTTTCTGTCACTGGTTCTAATCACCACCCTAAAGATCTGTTCAAATGCAATACCTTGTCATTACAAACTGATATTTCACTGGCTGCATAACCTTTTCTAAAAAAAATCCTCCACTCTTCAGTCAAAGGAGACACGAAAATCCTCATTTCTAATTTCAACTCCTGTGTCAGGCATTTAACCATGAAATGTTATGGCCCATAGACCGATATCTGTATATGATCTCTGCCTTGCCCAAGTAAACCAATACTTCATCCTTTGGGTTCATATGCTTTGTGATCAGACACTATGTAACTCGGAGCTGATTTGATGTGATTCAATCAGAAAATGTAGCACAAAGTTCTACTCCAATCTGTCCTTGATAACCTGAAACCAAACATTTTCATGGTTTCAAAAAATTAAGTCTTTGCACTAACCTTAACAATGCCCCTAAAACAACAGAATCAATTTTTAAAAGGATATCTGTTAAAGGTTATTTCTACATTCTCTGGAAGGATGTATACAAGCATACATGAAGGGTATGGCCTCCACATTGAGTAATAGCTGGAGATAATGGTTCCACAGCACTTCTCAAAATCTGCACAATTTGGAGAGGCTGGTTCCTTGCACATGGCTACAAGATGTGCACCTCCCACAAACATCCCACGTAAAGGCTAAGAGATTAATACTTATGCCATGAATTCTATCTGTTTTATTATAAAACATTCTTTTTGAACACAGATGGTTTACTATCCCTGGTGTGAGGTATTGTTATGTCTACTGCAGTGCACCTACCCCCAAAACGCTGCTGATAAAAAGTGGAGAGATCCTCCCTGGCTTGAAAAAAATCTGATGTAAAAATGATGTGACACAATCAGTGCTGAAGTCGGATCCCTCCCCCGCCATGAGAAACAACACTTCCGGGCTGGTTAGAAATAGCTCTACCTTTCTTGCTTTAAACAAACACGTCTCTTCCTTTATCATTTGGCTTTGATTCTGGAGACTCCCTCTAATCTCATCCTTACTCCGCCCTCGTTGGATAAATACACTTTGCGATATCATCTAGCATTCTCATTCTACAAGACTAAGACTGAAATTTTCTATACATACACCAGCAAAGACTAAATAAATGAAACCCTGGCTATCCCAATGGAAGCTGGATTGATAAGAAGTCTAAAATTATTAGTTTTGTCTAATCTGGAAATCACTTTCCTACAGCAGAAAAGACATGCAATACCAAACAAGAAGACAAAGTCATCAATATCCCCACAATGGCAAAATACTCTTTATGAATATGTCTACTAGTTATGATTATGTCAAATGTTTTGGAGTGTATACAGCAAAGTGGAAGGAGAGTATTGAAAGGTTTTTAAGATCTGCTCCAGAAAGGAGCACTACCACCAAATTCAGTTGAAGCCTAACTTGTTGCCATGGAAATGCAACAAGATGACATCCTCATAGTCACAGTCTAAGTCATGTTTCCATGGAAACCACAAAAATTAAAATTCATATCTGGGTCTAAACCCCAAAAGGCACATCTAGAGATCATGCTTGACATATGTACCAAGTTTGATGAAGCTAGCATGTATAATTTAGTAGATCTGCTCCGGACAAGATGACATCCTCATAGCCACAGCCTAAGTCATGTTTCCATGGAAACAGCAAAAAATAAAATTCATATCTGGGTCTAACCCCCAAAAGGCAATCTAGGGATCATGGTTGACATGTGTACCAAGTTTGGTTAAGCTATCACCAATAGTTTAGGAGATATGCTTCGGACAAAGTGTGACGGACGGACGGACGGACAGAACTCGTTTCTATATCCCTGCAACTTCGTTGTTGCAGGGGATAATAAGGCAAAGGATTCATATTTTCCCAGTTAATGAATTATATTCAGATTGAAATAATCACATAATTCATACTTGTGTAAGCTTAAATACAGGTGATAAAACTGTATGTGAAGTCAGAAATAACTTTTTACTTGTTTTATACACCTGAAACTTTTCAACCAGGTTATAG